AGATAGTTATTGATATCTTAATATGATTAATAGAAGTGTTCCAAAAAACCCTGTCTAGTTGGTACTGTAGGAGTCTATTAGATAGTTATTGATATCTTAATATGATTAATAGAAGTGTTCCAAAAAACCCTGTCTAGTTGGTACTGGAGGAGTCTATTAGATAGTTATTGATATCTTAATATGATTAATAGAAGTGTTCCAAAAAACCCTGTCTAGTTGGTACTGGAGGAGTCTATCAGATAGTTATTGATATCTTAATATCATTAATAGACTTGTAAAGGGAAGTGTGCTGAGAACCGTGACTGTGTGCAGTGTTGGGTGTTTGGTACTGGTAAACTAAATGCTGCACAATGTCAAGCCCAGTGTAAAGATGCGGTGTACATCATGAAGGATGAAATCACTTCCGGTTAGTACCTATATCAGTGTTCATACTAAAAGTGCTGTTCTCTCTACCGATTATGGTATTACACGGCACGGTATACGGCACGTTTGATGCTCCTCTGCTTCCTTGAAAACAGCCCTTTTTAGTGTAATGTATTTTTTTGTTTTATTGACGCGACTAAATAAGCGCGCACGGGTTACCTCAGCGTGCAACATCGTTGTCTTTACGCTGCATGATTCTTTACGGCCTATAGCAACATATAGTTTTCGGCCTAATAATATGACCATCAATTGTTTGATTTTTTGAAATCACTCTGGGGAAAAGCAAAATCTTCTCTGAAAAAAAAAAWTCAAAACRCTTCTGATCTAATTTTTTGGATGGTCATATTATTAAAAGAACATCGAATGGGTTCTTGTGCAGTTTGAAAAAACACTCGTGATATTTATTTTCAAATATTTGATTTCCTATACCAATGTTGTAACCAGTAATTTCATGTTACTGATGCATTACTTTGAACGTGCTTTTATCTCATCAACAGAAATGGGTGAGCAGTGTCAGTTTACAGATGAAGATGACTGTAAAGTTTAYTTCGCCTACCGAGAGAATGAAAACAGGCAATTGGAGATCTTTGTTAAAAGAAAAAGGGGYGAGTTACACTTGTACTTTCTGCCGGTCCATCTTTACATGTGTCTATTGACTTCTACTAGAATCTGGTAGAGGCTGGTATAGTTGCCACGACAACGGCTTGGTTGTCATGGCACATAAGGCGGCCAATCAAAATGCTCAAACGCGATGCCTTCACGGTCACGGCACAGCACGTCCCTTGGTTTTTTATAGTCATACGAAATGTGCTATGACATCATGACGCTGGTTTCGCGTACGAAGATATTTAATTCACCACGATGCTAACAATTTCGTATCTCTTTTTCAGTCTGTCCTGAAGAGGCAGGAGCATTAGCCGTCATTCTAGGCGTTATTCTTGGCGTACTGGGTGTTGGTCTGGCTTTACTATTGATATGGAAACTCCTTGCCACTATTCAAGTATGATCCATACTTATAAAGATTCTGCTTTTTGTTAAATTAACCTTTACTAAAGTTTCTTGTCTTTTTACGAATATTAGGATCGAAGAGAATTCGCCAAGTTTGAGAAAGAAAGACAAAACGCTAAATGGGACACGGTAATTTCCTTAGTTTTGTCTTACATTTAGATATAACTGATAATTATATTTAAATACGGGTTATTATGTATTAAATATTAATTAATTGATATGTTTATCTTATTTTCTTTCAGGGTGAGAATCCAATCTTTAAGCAAGCCACAACGACGTTTCAGAATCCTACTTACCATGGCAAATAGAACCGAACTTGTTGCCTAGCAACCATGGTATTTGATGACGTATTAAGTCATGTGATATAATGATGTCATGTGACTTCATGTGATGCCACGTGTATCTTGGTTGGATGTAGGAAACTAAAAATTTAGAGGATGGAAGGATGAAAGGATGGAAAAATGGTACGTGGCATATGTATGATACCATACAAAAATGGAACAGAAAGCTACGAAACAAGTTGAATATATTGCTTCGGCTCCGAAAGCCGCCTTAGGAATGAATTTCAAGAATGTTTAAAGTTTCTTTTAGTAAGATATTAATAACCGTTAAATTTCCGAGAGCTGTGCTCTAGTAGCTAAAATAATTCTTACTTTATTCACATTTGGATAGCAATTATATATTTTTAATTTCAGGAAACTATTTTATTATTTGCTGTGAAATGTTTATCATCTGAAATACTTTTTTATACTATTTTGAGGTGAATTAGGAAAATACCTCGAATCAGCTTGACCTCGTATTTTTTTAGTCCGAAAAAAACACCTTTAAATTTGGTTCTTGTTTTTAGAAACGCTTGTCTGTTCGCGAAAATAATTGTTAAACAGTATAGTAGCTAAACCGAAGAATAATATTTTAGTCCCAAATCAACGATATCAACTAGGAAGAGACCACTACAGTACCCTTCAAATTGGTTCTTATTTTCACTTCTATATATAGTTACTATTTTTATATTTAAAGACAGAAGGATATCGATATCTTTCTCAAGGAAATATTATTTTCTAAGGGAATCATTGACTAGGTAAAGGCCTGATAGATAGACCTGTTTTCCCATTTCAGACCGCGTGTCAATTCCTAGAGTATCATTTCTTTGTTTAATGGTTGCACATGAGAAGACACATGAAAAGGATACAACTCAAAAAAAGAATTTTATTCTCAAGGGAATGACACGTGGTCTGAAATGGGAAGACATTACGCCTGAGCCGAGGAGGTCTATTGCAATACACTTTGTTCAATGGTTTATTGTTTAGGGTTGGTAGTGTGTTCTAAATCCCTTAATCAAACTTTATGAAAACTTTAAAATTGTATAGTAATGTTTTAGATTTGATGTTAGAGCGAGTATTAGATTGCAAGGGCGTGTGAACACGTGTTTTAGAGCTAGTTGTTGGTTAGTAATAGACTAGTATCAGTTATTTGCAGGTCGTTTTATGTATTTTAGTGTCATGTACAATAAGAGACATTTAATGTTCAGATTAAAATAAAATGTTCTAATTTTTATAACCAAAGTGTGAAAAATATTAACCTTCTTTTTTCTGGCCCTATGTGGTCTTAATTGGTGCCTGTTATGTTTAATCTCGTACATTTGATTCTTATACTTCCTTAAAGCATCAATATTATCCAACCCTGAAACGACTTATAGGCTGATCAAAGTCAGGGTACGGTTCGATGGAGTTGGAATTTTATTTAGCTTGTTAGGTTTTGTGGAAGGAGGAAAACAGGATAATCAAGGAAGAGACCTTACAATCTCTACTCGCATGCGATGCCAATACAAGTCCATTCAGGAATCTTACTCGAGGCCGCAGATTGAAGCGAGGGGCGAAATACACCAGTTTCGCATTCGATTCAAACATACGGCTGTTTTTGAAGAACACAGACTCAGCACAGGCTTAGCCTCGTTTATAAGTCATCTATTCACAGATACTTTTAAAAGTTTGTAGGATTGGTACAAAACATTGGTATTGTTCAAGCTGCACATTCTTTACATTACAGTTGACTTTTTTCTCAAGCGAGGCTAAGCCTGTGCAGATGAGTCTTTAGTCATGAAACACATCGACATCGACATTTACCGAATTAGAAAAGGAACTATTGAGCAAAGCTTTTTTTGCCTCTTCAAAGTTAGTTGCAATTAATGACTAGTGAACGAAATGAAATTCCCAAGTTGGCCATCACTTAAACTGTTAAAAATGTCTTCAAGCATTTTATTTGAGAAATCAATAATACATAGTCTGTAGCAGTTAAATTGGACATGCACAACTACTATACTTTTACGGTGCTTATAACTTTAAGGTCTAACACATACAAGTTGACGTTAAAAAAGGCCTGGTTTCTGCTTTCGACACAAGTGAACAACATACTTAGCCTTGGCGAAACCCCTCTTCCCGTAAGGTGCGAGGAAAGACAGCTGGGTACAGAGAGTGCGTCCCCCTTAAGGGCTGGATTTTGAGAGGTCCTATTGTTTTATCAAACTCATGTATTATCCACTCTGTTTTTACATCAAATGCACTTCCCCCATCCTACGTGCCTCATGGTGGTAGCTGAATGAGTGTGCTACCTAGTTTTATGTTAGTCATTGCAATTTAAACAAAAAGGAGGCTTAGGGACTACGAAAGACGTAAACGTTAGCATACTAAATTTGACTTGCAGTTTAGGGTTCTGTTGATCAAGTACAGGGCTTTAAGGTAAATATTTAACATTTCATTTTTTCATGTTGTTTGCTTGGCAAGAGAAATGGATAGCATGAAATGTTTTCACATGCATTAGAGACTAGGGACGTAACTAAATGTCTAACTTATCTCAACCTTCAATATCATTCGCTTGGTAAGAGAAGTGGATAGGATTATCAAGGGTTCTCACATG